TTAGCCCAGCCGCTGGCTGCCCGTCGCGTCCGCAGGTGGCAGATAATGGAGGAACGGCTTTCAGCAAAGGCTAGCTGCGAAATAAGCAGACTTTCGGGTCCACCGAATAAGCAGTCTTGGACCAGAAGTGGCAATGCTACCAGAGTGGGGAGGGACGACAGCCTTGTAAAATATTGCAAATCTTAATGAGGGCGCTACGACATGACGACCGTTTACTTACCACTGCTGCGTTGTGGTTGGTCTCTTGAATCGGAGTTTTGGAGAAGGCGACCTCGAACGAAAAGTCCGAGCGGCTGTCGGGTACCCGCCTGTACTTCTAGTTCTTAAGAAACCTCATGAAAATATGTTCGAATAAAGTATTGCGATCCATGCTACGGCGTCTGCGGAAACGGATGCGTTCCGCAACCGTGGTCCAGTGATGCGGGCGAATAATATGCGAATTAAACTACTCAATCGAGGACGGACTCTAGGTACTGGATGCTGGAATGTGCAAACGTTTCTAGACCCGGATACCCTAAGCCTGACGGCGCACAATTTTCGTCAGTACAATGTGGATGTTTGCCGCCTGTCTGGAGTCCGAATTCCCGACTCTGGTGCTCGGGAAATAAAGATCACAGGAGTCAACCTACACTGCAACCTGTACCACAGCGGCCCACGTGAAACGAGGTGGCAATCGTCCTCTCCCAACAAGCGAACAGCGCACTACTTGACTGGGAATCAGTCAATGACCAGATGGCCCTTGTGCGACCAAAGGTTCGCTTTACGTGCATCGCCGTCTTCTCCCTGCACGCACCAACATCAGCTGCCGAACAGCGTACCAAAGGTGTTTTTTTACTCGCAGCTGCAAGCGTTAGTCAAAATCCTCCGCCGCTGTGATCTACTTGTTGTTTGCTGAGACTAGAATGGCCGAACTGAACCTGGCAATTTTCAGCTGTGGCGTTCAACAGGGTTGTGTCCTGTCGCCCGTTCTCTTCAACTACACCGTCAATTGGATTCTGGGGAACGTCCTGCACGAAGTTGACGGTGTCGAGTTTGTATCCAGCCGCCAGCAGACTGATCCCGACTACGCTGATGATATATCTTTACTACCAAAGGCATTGGCCAATCTACAGTCTATGGTATCACGGGTGAATGAGATCGCTGAATCTGTCAGTTTATCCACAAACGTTGGGAACACTTAAGTGTTTTTGAGCTGCACCCATGACCAGGAGAGGGCGCCTCTCGAGATTAATGGCTGTCAGCTTGAAGGTGTAAGCCGCCTCAAATACCTCGGGACAAGGCTTTTGCCAACTTGACAGAGTAAGGATGACATTGTTTCCCGAATCGATGCCGCCCTCCGGGTTTTCTCAAGGCTTAGAAAATCTGCGTGTACCGTGCGTTTGCCCATTCTGTCCTTCTGTACCTTTGTGAATGCTGGGCCGAGCGCGTGGAAGATGAGCGAAGACTGGAGGTACTTAGTCACCACTACTCGAGGACCATCCCCCGAATGAAGTACACCGACTTCGTCTCAAATGAGACAGTTCTCATTTGCTGCAACAAAATCGTGAAGTTAACTTAGACCATTCAAGAAAGACGACTGTGTTGGTTTGGGCACGTTCTTTGTCGTCCACTTCAGGAGCTCAGTGTTGCTGCCATCGACCCGGCACGGTTACCCACCTAGAGGCATCGAAGAGGGGGTCTATTCAAAACCTACCTTGGCATAGTCAGTCGCGACTTGAAAGTGGTTCTCGGACCCTTAGTATTTGGGCTCCGTCGCTGGCAAAGAGAATTGATCGAGCTGTCCAGCTCTGTTGCCACGGACCGTCACGCGTGGTGAAGTTCGATCCGTGACAGCATCGAAGCCGGCTAGATCTGACATGACCGCAGCAGTACCAAGTTTAAGTAGAATTAATAGGCTCCATGGTCTATGATGCTCAAGAACACCGCTATATTGGATTTCGCAGAAATGAGCCTTTATATAAAAAACGCATTTAAGGAGGCCATAAAAGTGCGGTCCTCGTTATCATGCCGGCAGGCACTCTTTGAGTTCATTTCCGTGCATTTAACAGGTCACCTGTATCAAGCAAGAGCGGATTTATAGATAAAGGAGACGTAACTGGAAAGTCTGGACAAACTCGATGAAGTTGGAAAATAAGGGGAATTTGGGCGGGTAGTTTTGAGTCTCCCGCTTATGCCTGTTATACAGAAAGTTTGGATGTACACTTGAGTGTCGAGATTTACTAGGTCTGTTGAGAACACGAAAGGCTTCAGAAATAGATGTTAGTCAATCATTAGCTGCATCGTGTCCATGCCGCATGTCAGGGCTCTCAGCAAAGTCGTCATGTGTTTCCGAATTATTCACTTGCTTTCGGGGAAGTTTTGTGAAAACCCCGTTGCTTTTATTACGCTGTAATTCTACTTATTTGGTACGGTTGCGGTCATGCCGGATTTAGCCGGCCTCGATGATGTCCCAAACTGTATCTCTCGATGCGTGACAATCCTCGGCAGCAGATCTGGACAGTTCAACCCATTTTCTTCGCCAACGACGGGGACTGAACGTCGAAGGCCCAAGAACCACCTCCATGTCTTGACAGACTATGTTGAGCCAGGTTTTGAATTTACTCCCTCTTCGATCCCTTCAATGGGGTAAAGGTACCGAATCGAAGACAGTAACACAGAGCTCCTGAGATGGATGATGAAGAACATGCCCAAACCACCTTAGTTGTCTTTCGTGGATGGCCTGGGTTATCCTTGCGATGTCGCAGCGAGCGCGGACTATCTCATTTGAGACGAAGTCGGCGTGCCTCACTTGAAGGCTGGCCCACAGCCAATGGTGGTCAAATACCTCTAGTTTTCGCTCTTCCACGCGCACAGCCCAGCATTCAGGGGACAGACCGGCCAGATGAACGGTACACGCGAATCTTAGTGGCGGTGGAGACGTCGCGCCGGGTCCATAGGCATTTTCTAAGGCTTGGGAAAACCCGTCGGCAGCATCAATTCAGGAGATAATTTCATTCTTACTCTGGCCATTCGGCTGCAGCCTCGTCCCGAGGTATTTAAAACTGTCAACTTCTTGCAGTTGGCAGCCAATAATCCCGAGCGGTGTCGTCTTGTCAGGGATGCAGCTTGAAAACACTTTAGTCTTCCCAGCGTTCATGGATAAACCGGCCGATTTAGCGACCTCGTTCACCCGTGACACCATAGACAGCAGATTACCAAAAATTGAAGCGAGTAAGGCAATACCATCGGCATAGTTGAGATCATTCAGTCGGTGTCCGGATGCAAATTCAACATCATCTTCGTGTAGGGCCCTCCCGAGAATCTGGCCAATAGCGTAATTGAACAGAATGGGCATCAGAACACAACTCTGTCGAACGTCAGATTGAATACCAAACGGTTGGGAGAGATTGCTGTGGACCAGGACCCGCGCAGTGCTGGAGCGGTAATAGGCCTTGATCACGACGATGATTTTTGGCGGTACACCATCTAGTATCATTATTCGCCACAGGTACTCACGATGAATGGAATCGAACGCAGCGGCAAAGTTTATGAAGCAGACGGCCGTCGATTGCTGGTAGTTATGGCGAAATTCGAGAATGCGCCTCAGCGTGAAAACCTGGTCCGCACATCCACGTCCAGCACGAAACCCGGCTTGGTTGGACCTCGTCCTAGAGTCGCGGACAGCCTGGAATCATCTGAGTAGGACACTAGCGAAGATCTTCACAGCAACGTCAGTGGGGTTTATGCTGCGGTAGTTCTCGTATCTTGTGCATGCACAGAGACAAAGGATATGTTCACGAGGTGACCCTTCAGTCGCACGTAGGCCATCCGGTCATTGACTGGTTCCCAAGCAAGTAACGTGAGGTCCGCTTGTTGCGAGAGGGCGGTAGCCACACTGTGTCTGCCAGAAGAGTCGCGTGGGCCGCTGTGTGATTCAGCTCCAGGGATCTTTATTTCTTTAGATCCTCAGCCAGGAAGTTGAACTCCAGACAGAGCAGAGATCCACGTTGTACTGATTAAGGCTTCGCGCGTTCAGACTTTGGGTACCAGGGTTCAGGGGCGTTCGCACATCCCAGCATCCAGTACCTAGACTCCGTCCCCGATTGAGTAGTACAGCTCGCATACTATTCGCCCGCACCGCCGGACCAAGGTTGCGGAGCGCGTAGGTTCCCGCGGACGCCGTAGCATGGGTCGTAATACTGCATTCAGTCATATTTCATGAGGTTTCTTGGGGATTTCGGATATAGGCTGGTCCCCAACAGCCGCTTAGATTGTTTGTTCGAGGTTGTCTCCCCTAACGCCTTGGCTTAAAAGCCTAACCACAAGCCAGCGGTGGCAAGCAAACTTATGTAATGGCGGTTTACGGTCGCCCTGTCACAATGCCGTCATCGGTCTTTGCGGCCTTTTTATAAGGCTTGCAGCGTGCCAGACCTCAGCCCCCTGTACCCTGGTAGCACTCGCTGCTGGTCCGCGACTGCCTATTCGTCAGACGTGGATCTGCTTATTTTACCGCGAACCTTCATTGAAGGCCGTTCCATCATCCGCCATCTCTGGACGCACAGGGTAGCCAGCAGTTAGGCTAAGGGGCAACCCGTCTTCCCGCTGTGTATAAACACTCCCAATAAGTCATACCCTTTTTTCAATATTGTGCCGAAAATGAGGATTTCGGTCAGTCATTTTAGATTGGTGTACATATAAAAAGGCATATAACATTTCAACTATTCCCATGGACATGAACGCATACTCTTACCACTATGTTCACCTTATCTAGAAGCTTTTAGGGGGCGTTTTAAAGCCTGTGGATTAATCAGTTTAAGTCTAAATGACGAGCTAATCACAGACACAGGAACTCGGGATTAATTTTCGATTTAAACGTTAAAGTTGTTTGACAATCGTGAAATTGTTGATTCGCTAGAGTTGAATATATTTTAAAGTCATTTCCACACGCATCGAATCTCTTTCACAGGGCTGCTCTAGCGAAATAGCAGCAGAATAAGTTCACATTTATGCTAACAAAATTGTGGAAGTAAATAGTTGAAGTTGGTATGAAGAGCATCTCTTGATAGTGCCTTTTTGAACAATTTCTTACTTTTTCCTGTGCCTCCGGATCACCTGATGGCCACGAGCGGTCAGAAGCATAATGTAAGACATAACGTACTTTATAAAGTGGGCGATCCTTACTAACACTACTAGTTGTCTGAGAGTCGATTGCCCGGAAAATTCGACCACCGCCCACAGGATGGGCCCAACAACAGTGACTTGCACGCGAACTTGTTTATATTGAAACAGCCTTTGGCAGCCTGTGCCTCGCCTTTTCTCGCACCCAGTCTACTCCGCTGGCAGGATGCAGTCAATTCAGTCGGTGGTGAGGGTGGATGCAGTGGCTGACAAGACCGGACAGCCCGTCTGCGCGTGTTACGCACGACCTAATTCAGGATTAATGTACCAGGTCACTTTCAGGGAGTCTAATATCACATAGGTGAAAGTGACTTGAAGAACACTTTAAGGAGGGGCGGTTGGAGCCCGACTTTTATGAGTTTTTCCGAGTCATTCCGTCAGTTTTCAACCTTCCAAACGACGACTCACCCCGCGTCTTTGTAGATTCAAACGCACCAGTTTGGTTATAGTGAGGAAAGCCCTGATTTACTATGAGAATGGGTTCTCCAATGTCGGCTTCACCGTCGCTACCTTCCCCGTGCGCCGATGACGTTTCCGTTTCGGACTCGTTGTGTTTTAGTCATGATCTCACTTTGGAGACGCATCGCACTCGTTTGTCTCAACAACCGTTCCGATGTGACACCTTCCCGTACAAAGAATTCGGATGGTTGAATTGGCCCAGTCAATTGTCATCGTGTCTGTCTACCGGAGACTTCATTATCAGGATCAATTTAGTGTACGTGAACTAGCAAGCGTTGAATACAAAATGGCAGATCATCCAGGACAGTTGTTTTGGGGTGTTCGCCCGTGTATATGCCTGTGGCCTAAGTACCGATCACTTCTACGAGCTTTCCTGTATGGTCTGAAACTTGGGTTCTTTCTTACCGCAGGAGTTTGTCATTCCTTTCCCACTTCAACTTTTGTCTCAGCCTTATTTCGTCTTAATTTCTTCGGAGTGTCCGAAATACTCCAACTTTATTTGTTATTTTCTAGTTGAATTCAATGCCCCAGGCAGACCTGGCCGCTCGTCTTACAATGAACGGTTTGCCGGACGCTGTTGATGTGGAAGGATTGCAGGAGGCGGACATAATAATTATTGAGGTTGGCTTTCGTTCAAATTTCGGTAATATCAAGCTGTAAATACGAGCTCAATCGTTGTAATTTTACTAAGATCGAATGCGACGTTTGACTGCCTAGATTGTCTTTTCTAGTTCAGTTTCTATCTGGTTAGTGTACCAGTCTCATAACTTTCGTGTAAAGGTTTCCGAAAGAAATGAGTTTGACAGAGTGTACATGTTCTTTCAGTCCGTGAGATGTAAGTTTTTCTCTTCTCTTGCAACCCAAAAGTCCAACGGCTCCCCTTACACATCTCCCTAACTTGATGTATGGTGAACTTTTGTCATCCAAACATGAACTACTCACTTTTTGGTGCCAGGGGGTTCTTAGAATTCCAGGTTATTGTTTGGACGCAAGAACTACAGCAGCTGGGCTAATTCATAAAATTTTAACCGAAATTCCGAAATGCGTTTTTGTTTCGAAAAGATTAATTAAGTAGGGTTGTAAAACTAATCAGCACGCAGCATAATTTTATAATAATTGATTTACCTCAGTATGCCGGCTTTCGAATGAACTTCTTTCCGGCTGCATGCAAAAACTATACTCTGTAAAAAGTGACCACTTGAGTAGTATGCATTTTTCTCATTAATTTTCGGTGCCCTTGGAAATTCAATTATATTTCATGGAAAACTTTCATAAAATATTCATCCTTTTGCTCAGTCGGTATAAAAGTACGTCTTCTTCCAATTTTATACTCGAAGGAGGAGTATAATTCGGTTTTCAAAAACTTTTCCGACTCTCGAATAATTTCGAACTCGACATGCCGTTACACATGCATCCAGGGTTTCCAAACGACAAGCCGTATGCTTTCCGCGTACGGGAAACCATACATTTCTCCAGGGTAATAAGGGGAGACCATATAGGGTTCATATTGTTAACTTAACAAGCCGCATTGGTAAATGCAGAAACATGGCGTTTTATGAACGGCCATTTCACGATATTAAAAAATCTCACAATTATAAACTTTCGAAAACCGAATTATACCCATCCGTCGAGCATAAAATTGGAAGAAGACACGCTTCTACCGAATGGGCAAAAGAATGAATATTTTTATGCATGTTTTCCATGAAGTATAATTGAATTTATAAGGCCATCGAAAATCAATGAGAAAAATGCATGCCACATAAGTAGTCATTTTTCACGGAGTATAGTTACTGGATGCAAGCGAAAAGAAGTTCATTCGAAGGCCGGTATCCTGAGGTAACTGAATTATTATGGACTTATGCTGCACGATGACTAGTTTTACAACCCTACTTAAGTAATCCTTTCGAACCGAAAAAGTATTTCGGAATTTCGGTTGGCACTTCATTGCTTAGCTCACCTATGGTACTAAAGCTAGCATCTTATTGATTTTTCTTGCGCCCCTACATTGCTTTTCCGCCAATTTTGTCCACCAGCGGTGGCCTTTAGTCACCGTTTGGTCTAAAAGTTATTTTTACCCCTATAGTCAGTATTTTGTAGTTTTGTGTCCTGCTAGCTCCCCCTCGCAAAAATGAGAAGGTTCGCCACGCCGTTTGGGCTCAGTTGTGTTTTTGGTTTCACTTTTCTGTCCTGGATAACAGCATCACTCTGGGGGGTGCGCATACCATACTTGATGTGTACATTTATTACCCCTTATGCGTGCCGAAGGGCCTTTTCTTCATAATTAATGAAATTACTCATGAAGGTTATAATAACTACTTGTTTAATTACCAAATGCATACTTTCCTTTCAAACTTCATATGGTCATCACCACAAACTTACCAGATTATTTATTACAGCTGCTTCTTTATACACGATTCGCTGTCTTGTGGGTTGCTTCACTCGCTTTTTTCGTTCTTCCTAACCACAGTTTTCACCTTTATTTTGCGTTTGAAACTTCTTCAGCAGAAGTTTTCCTCTAGTATAACTGTCGTAGTTGCGTACTCATGTACAAGTTTAATAAACTGAAATGCGCAAGGGCAGAACCTTTAAAACTGGAAAATCGGTCGCGCCATAAATCGGGTTCCCAGAATTTTCTTTATGGTTACTAGAGCCATGGAATTTATACCCACTGAACGTTTGCAGGGGTCCATTTTCTCACGCCGACCGTCGCTTTAAAGCACCAGGATTTGCCGTGTGCAATCGGCTCACCGTCCTAGTTCCTTACATAATTGTTTACTCCTACGCTTCAGGCTGCTATTTGATCCGAAGGAGACTGACAACTTTTGCAGAAGCTTCATACCACTTCTCTCTTCCATGCGCATCCATTTACGTTCGATAGGCTTCCCGTACTTATCGTTAGTGTCTTCTGGGAGACCCACTTTCCCGATTGACACGTCAGATTGATGCGCCCGTGTGTCCACGACATCCAGTCATTGCGACCGAATTTAATGGACCAGTACGTCCGCATACCCTTTCTCTCCCTCTCCTCTCTACAGAACTCATGTCTTCCCGGAAAAGTACGTCAATATCGGTTCATTCGATGGGGACTTCTGAAATTTTTACCAGATGCGCAGAAGGTATATGAGTACTGCGCACCTGTGCCTTTTAAGTGCAGAGAATCGGATCCTACTGGACGCATCCTTTTCTAAGGGCCCCATAAATCAACAGTAATGCGCTAATTCATAGATTTTCGATCTACTTTCTATTGTCTGGGTTCCATCAATTTCATAGCCTTGGAAGCAACCGATCCCGTGTTTTTATTAAGAACAACTGGTAGTTGCCGATTGCAAGCCTGAAATTATGACTGACAGCTAATCAAGTCATCCAAGTGATCGCTCAGAAGCCCCTAGACAATTTTTCTGCACAGTTATTGCGTTTTACCGCCTAACCTTATTTATCGCAGGGTGGTGAATTTCAATTAGACTATGTGAGACTTTGGGTTTTCTTTTGATCTTCGAGGAGTGGTCGTCAGATTTCGTGAAGACCTTAGGATTGTTTCCCATGGGACAAGCCAAGTCTTGCCTAGTGAATAAGCTAGTTTTCATACCCAATTGCATTCTGCGTCGTCTTTTGATCCTAAACTCAAAAAAACGCCCTCCATTCTTTATTCTTTCTAGGAAACTTGTCATGATTGTTTTTTGGTGTGCGCAGTTTTAGGCCTCCCTTTTAGACAAGTGTGACAATCACTTCGTGTTTTGACGCAGTTGAAAAAGCATTTTTTTCACGAGACCCCAATGAGGCCTTTATAATTAGCTGTCTTCTAAGACGTGCGGCCTTTCTCACCGTACATCCAGAGGTTCGTTTTCGGAAAGTATATTTAAAAAACAACGAGAGAGGCGATAAAGGAACTACTCGACCCTTTTAACTATTCATAATTCACGCTGCCATGCAGGGAAGGTTTGTACTTCGGCTCCTACTATTTTTAGGCGTTTTGTCTTTAAAATTCAAACTGTGTTATCCCGATATATTTTCAAAATAACCTTGTCTTTCTAGGTGGGTGACCTGGATAACTCCTATAGGGAGCACTTTGGAAGTGTGAACAAAGCCTACCCCAACGCCAAGGTGGCCCATCTCGAGCTAGGTGGACAATTTCCCTTCCTCAGCAGAGCCGAAGAATTCGCCGCCTATATGGAGGTTAATACAATTTCGTTCTTGTCTACCTTCCTGTCTCACCTTTGTACCCTTAGGTAAACCAGAACACACTCAACTGTTCAACCGTCGTTGCCGACGGTGTCCACCGTCTGCCCCACAGCAGGGTGGACACAGGCACGATGGCTTGCGCATAAATTAGTTCATAGTGATAGTGGACTTGCGCTGCACTTATCGCACTCCCCCCCTCACCCCCTGGATCCGGTGTCGCGAGAGTCAAGAAGACCGGAGGTGGGGTCGGGCGCAGCCTGCGCCCAGGTGTACCACCGTATCCACATGTATGACATTTGTTGTGGGTGCGTCGGCAAGTGATGTGTGCCGTACCCTGGCATAGCCCCCCTGTTGGTCCAGCGCAGTTACCATGTGGCCCGTCGCTACATTCTGCCGGAAATTTTCATCAAACACCAGACCAATAAACCTCTTCCTCCACCGATCACATCTTCATTTTCTGAGTCTTGTCAGTGTTTGAAAATAGGTGATTTCTTGTCCTCCTCGACATTTTTGCCCATTTCAGGCAGGCCCAGTATTTTCATATAGGACAGTGGATGTGTGTACGAAATACACCAATGGGTGTGGCTGCTACACGAAATGTCCACCATATGAGGTTTCTCATGTCTACCCGGAATTCACTAACGGATATTAATACTTCAGAATGGGCCTAACCGAACACCGAAAGCGTACTTTTATATATCCGATTTTATGATATGGTTAACGATTGACCCTCCATCGTGTCCGCGCACCGCCCCCCGACGTCGTATGTTCTGTATTTGCGGTTCTCATGGAAATGTTCGCATGTAACTGAAAACATAATGACATCCGATTTTAATAGCTGCTCATTTTTTATCATGGCTTGTACTTTGTAGATTACCTACCGCGGCCTATATGTTCGCCTCTGCGGTGTTTCGATATGAATGAATGACTGTCCGGGGTGCTACCACTGTCGTTTTATAGTTGCATCCAATCTACTAGTCCGTTGGTGTTACGCCTCGCCTCGGCACATTTGCCGGTACATCTTTATTCAGCTAAATTAGTCATGAGAGGGAGCGGCTAGTTCTGGTACCTGACGAGTGTTTTTAGCTTCTTTCAGAGCTCTGAAGCTAGAAGACGGGGGAACATTGCTTTGGCCGTAGACATAAAATATAAGTAAACCCGCAAAAATAAGTCTGTGGACTTATTCAGCGGTTAAAAACAGCCTTGTATACCGTTACTTTGACTACCAGGACCGAATAACATTCGAGTTTATTTAATGGGCGACGTACTTATTTTTCGTTTTACATCTAATCACGAAAAAATGTAATAATATCAGTAGCCACTTACTTTTTTGGTGAACTATTGCCTGTTTAAGTTTTCCCCACGGCTACGACATAAGCGACATCTCGGTGGCTTGCTTACCGATGTTTACGATAAATTACAGTTTAACTTACTTGCGGTCTGCATTCCCAGATGCACTATGAATCCTACCATCAAACCCCGTTCTGTCCCACTGCCAATGTTGACATTGATGGCGACCGCATCTGAAGAATGTTCAAAATCTCCTCAAGTCCCTCCGAGAATGGTAGGTATCCGAGTGCACACATATTTCTCTCTCTCTCGTCTCTATCTTGCCCTTTCCCTCTCTTTCTCTCCTAACTCTGTCCTTAACCGTTTTATTTACCTTCAGAGGACTGAAAAATATTCATACTGGCTTGTGCCACTCTTCTTATTCATTGCCAACTACTCTCACACAAACTTAATTAATAAATCGCTAGCATAGGTCAGAGACGGGAGCATGATGCCCAGGATCACTTATTTAGATACGGCGCACTTTGCCAGTGTTTTTGTTGGTGTCTCTGTCGGCACCGACTGCATGGTCGTGCATTTAGTTTAAGGGAGTTGATGCTGATATAATGTTGCCACGTTAGGGGTCAGGAAGGGGAAGTTAAGAGGACAGGCTTTGTTGAGTCAGCTCACGAGTAACTCATGGCAAACACTGGCAGGAGTGTCTTACCTACGAAGGCTGGGAGCGCGTTACAATCATGTCACTACCTGACGAATCAGCGGGCGGTGCAGATACATGCAGTGGTCCCGTGTGGTCAGGAAGGTCTGTGAAGTTTCGCAGCGACAGCAAGGTCGATCAGGGGCTCTCGAAATTTCACAGGACTATGTTACGTCAAAATTACAATCGAGCATTCGGCAAGGAAGGTTGGACAGCGATTTTCTCTCGAAATTATTGGGGTCCACCATTCCAGTTGGCAGGCCAAAATTTGAGACGGATTTTTCACTCCATCTACCATGTAGTAGTCTTGCTTCCTATCAGATTAGACTCTGTCCCGGACCAAACAGCTACTTAAATCGGTCCTGGAGAAAGCTTCAGGACAAGTATCTGAGGTACTACATGGTCGCTGGTTGTGTGTTTTTGTTTTACAACATTTGCTGAAGAACAGAAGCTTTACACAGAAAACGTGATGCGAGATTTAGGTCATACATTTAATAAGCTGGTATTTGGCACCCATGCACTCTAAGAAACTGGGGCCGTCCAGGCCTGTGCGTTGTCTGTACTCATCTAGCGAGTCATTTTTTCTCTGGTGCATCCTTTTTTCCGGCTTAATTGCACCCGAATTCTTGACCTTACCAATTCAAACCTGGAACTTTTGAGGTCTGCGACGTGCTTCCCTCTCCGGTACACCTCTGTGCATTGTTCTTGCTGATGACACAGTAAAAGGCTGGTTTCCCTAAGTGAAGTTTCACTGTGTTATCACTGTCCCTGCTTGAGTGGATTCTTGTTAGAACAGTTATACACTCATTTCCTGTTCCTTGTCGTCAGCTTTGCTGTCTTAGCCCGTTGGCTTTGCTCAGGCTACTGCTAAACACTTCACATGCACGCAGTTTGGCAAGCCAGTGTAGCAAACCTGACTTGTCCATCAGGACTAAAACAAAGGCATCCCATTTTTTCCGGAAATGGAGATAAACGGAATATCGCAAGTATAAAGGCATCAGTTAATCAACATCGCTGTGCGCATAACCGCGAATATCCTCCCGACCGCCGACAGTATTCCTCAACGTCTAACCAGGGCGTGCTCTTTTTGATCAGAGTGTTAATTACGCCAATTCCCACCGCCTTGCTTGAAAATTCCTTGGAAAAAACAGTTAGCCTTTTAGCACCTAGTCATTGTCTCAAGTGAATTCTGTCTCAAAATATGTTCTGGGAAAATCAAACTCTTTCTTTGCAGTTTCACAGTGCAAATTGTAATCCCTCGCGGATGACAGAAGCCTGGAGGCGATCGGTTGCGTTCCCTACATCTTACTCTGTGCCGTTGACGGGCTAATGCCGGGTAAAGTGAATAGCCAAGTGCAACTCGTGCGTAGTATTTTCTGTCAGTTTTTCCAGTTGCCGTGGCCTCACTTCGAGGTCCGACGGAAAGCAGGAGTACCGGCTTATGGAGCTAGTTGGTAAAAGCCATTCACGTGTGCTACCGCGAAACTTGACTTATCGCGCCGCTTACTTGAGAACAGTGTTCGATAAGTGGCGTTTCGGGCTAATGCTTACGGACCCCGCATCGAACTTGGAACTTCACCGCCGATCTTGTTCTTGGCCGCTTTGGGCTTGGCTCCCGATGCGAAAATGTTGAGAGATTGCTGAACTTCGCTGATCGAAACCGACTGCTTGTCACCAACACATGTTTCCAGCATCGCAAGAAACATCTGCTGACCTGGTATTCAAACGACGGTCATACGGCCAGTCAGATTAACTACATACTAGTCAGCTCAAGGTTCCGCAGCTGGGTTCACGATAGCAGATCGATGCGTGGTGCCGAGACTGGTAACGCCCATGGGTCGGACCATGTCCTGGTCCGTACACGCTTGAAAGTTCATCTCTCATCCGCGCCAAAAATGCCACGTCCTAAACGCCTCGATATCGCAAAAATCCGGCAAGCCAGCCCTGCCGAGGCCCTAAGCAGAGAAATCCGGACCTGTTTTACGACCCGGGTTGACGGAGAAGTCAGTAGCCAGTGGTCGTCACTGAAGACTTCAGTCTATGGGGCAGCAGAGAAAATCCTTGTATACACCCAGCGACGCCGCAGTGACTGGATCAGCGGAAGAACCCTGCAGTTGTCTGCTCAGACGGCTAGAGCTTGGTCCCGCAACGATGACTACTTCCGCCAACTTCGGAAGATGACGGCAAAATCGGCCAGGGATGACCGGAAGCAATATTGGGCTGAAATAGCGACCTCCATGGAACAGGCCTCGAACGTTGGTGACACTCGAAAGCTCTACCGTCTGATTCGCAAAGTTAGCGGTAAGCCCTCTACACTGAGTAACTCTGTTCGCGATGTGAACGGCGGCTTTATTGCTGGCAACTCGGCCAAAGTCGAGCGCTGGCATGACCACTTTGAGCACCATCTCAACTTCGATACCCAACCTACCTCGCCCCTGCTCTCGTCCTCAGCGGAGTCTCTTCCCTGCCCTACCTATGCAGTGCCATACGATCCCCCTCCGAGGGAGAAGTCGCCGATGCCATACGAAAGTTGCGCAACAATAAGGCACCCGGAGAGGACGGTATACCCGCTGAAGTCTTCAAGTCTTGTGTCGACACCGGCGCCCTGGCTCCATGAGGTGATTGAACGAGCGTGGAGAGACGAGGTTGTTCCTGATGCCTGGGGCTTAGGCATCCTTGTACCTATCCTCAAGAAGGGAGATAAGACGAGATGCAAGAATAACCGCGGCATAAGTCTCATCGACGTTGCTGCGAAGATCTTCGCTATTGTCCTACACAGGCGATTCCAGGCTGTGCGTGACTCAAGGACGAGGCCCAACCAAGCCGGATTTCGTGCTGGACGTGGATGCGCAGACCAGATATTCACACCGAGGCGCATTCTCGAATTTCGCCATAGCTACCAACAACCGACGGCCGTCTGCTTCATTGACTTTGCCGCCGCGTTCGATTCCGTTCACTGTGAGTCCGTGTGGCGGATAATGGCGCTAGATGGTGTACCGGCAAAAATCATCGCCATGATCAAGGCCTACTATCGCTCCACCACTGCAAGAGTCCTGGTCCGCAACAATCTTTCCCAACCGTTCGGTATTCGGTCTGGCGTCCGATAGGGTTGTATCCTGTCACCAATACTGTTCAACTACGCTATTGACTGGATCCTCGGGAGGGCCCTGCGCCAGAGTGACGGTGTTGAATTTGCACCCGGACATCGACTGACTGATCTCGACTATGCCGATGATATCGCCTTACTTGCTCCAAGTTTTGGTGATCTGCAGTCTATGGTGTCACGGGTGAACGAGGTCGCTAAATCGGTCGGTCTGTCCATAAACGCTGGGTAGACCAGTGTTCTCAAGCTGCATCCCTGACCAGGAGAAGGCACCCCTCAGGATTTATGGCTGTCAACTTGAAGAAGTAGACAGTTTTAAATACCTCGGGGCGAGGCTGCTGCCTAATTGACAGAGTAAGGACGACATTGTCTCCCGAATCGATACTGCCCGCTGGGTTTTTTCAAGCCTTCGGAAATGCCTGTGGAACCGACGTGACCTCTCCATCGCCACAAAGATTTGCGTGTACCGTGCATCTGTCCGGTCTGTCCTTCTCTACGATTGTGAATGCTGGGCTTTGCGCGTGGAGGACGAGCGAAAACTGGAGGTATTTGACCACCACTGCTTGAGGACCATCCTTCGAGTGAAGTTCACCGACTTCGTCTCAAATGAGACGGTCCGCGCTCGCTGCGACATCGCAAGGATAACTCAGGCCATCCAAGAAAGACGACTGAGGTGCTTCGGGCATGTTCTTCGTCGTCCACCTCAGAAGCTCAGTGTTACTGCCCTCGATCCGGCACCATTGCCCCATTGGAGGCGTCGAAGAGGGCTTCAGTTCAAAACCTGGCTCGACACAGTTCGTCAAGACATGGAGGTGGCTCTTGGACCTCGGTATTCGGTCTCCGTCGTTGGCGAAGGGAATGGGTTGAGCTGTCCAGATCTGCTGCTGCAGATCGTCACGCGTGGAGAGGTACAGTTCGGGACATCATCGAGGCCGGCTGGATCAGGCATGATCGCAGCCGTATCAAGTACAAGTACAAGTAATCTGGGACACCGCCTGGTGGTGATGCGACAAAAGGTCGTTGTCTGTACTGGTTTTTTACACGCCTGACCAAGTCTCCAGTATTGCAAACAAGTCTCACTTCCGTTACTCTATGGGTTTTTCAACATCTTAGAACAGTAAGTAGCACATCCGTCGGTTCAACGGACCTCCATCTAGGCCTCATCGGAATGGTG